AATGTTTGTCGTCTATCTAAAATGGGATAAAGTTTGAATGCCACTTATATGTCTTATGTAAACTAAACTATCGTCTTGCGTTTAAAATTATAAGCCTGGTTTAATTGATAAGTTTTTACAATTTGGTTCCAATCGGTTGGGATATGTTTTCCTGTTGGGATTTTTTATACAGTAAGTAGAAGGGGTAAGCGACTTAGATTTTTACTTCTGTCTGCATCATGTTTTAACACGATCTTGTGCAGAGGTTTTGTTATCATTCCTCATTGCAATTATATCAATGATTTTCATTGTTTATAATATAATGGTAATGTCAGTCAAAATATAAATACCACTTTTGGCATTTAGATAATATTTACTATAGTTAAAAGACATTTTTTGCTTGGTCCTGTGTTCATTGAGTAGAAAATGCCATTCAATATCACAAATACTGAGTCTTAATACTCAGTTACTACCTTGATTGTACAACCATAGTTCTTTTGATAATGCTGTAAATTCACAAATTATTGTAAGACTTTTATTTAATTGAACAATGCGATTAGATGAGTATTGCAATAATAAGAACTCCCATTGTGAAATTTGATACATATAAATGAATGCAGATTTTTCTGAAATCACAATAATTATTATCGCATTGTTTTTCACAAATCGCAATGATAAATGCACGCAATTATTTCTGAATTTACAGTTGATAGGTATGTTTAAAAAAACTAGCAATAGCTATGATTAACATACACTTGAAAAAGTTGGTCCTGATTTGTTTCATAAAAAAGAATGGCCAACGTAGATGAAAGTATCGTGTCTTAGGGAGGGATAAATCGTACTTTTCAAACAAAAATTTCTCTGAAACTGACATTACTGACAGAAAGGTAAATATGCTCGATATACTTACTAGATGTGTGATCAGATGATTACAGCCATAAATTTTCTCCTTGACAACATTTGTGTACGTTTCGGCAATAGGTTTATCGACAGATTGTATGTATTCCTATGAGCACCAATTGTGCCCCTTTAATAGCAGACTTGTTTGTGTACTGTTATGAAACACAGATTCAGTAAAAACCCATCTAAATTCCATTTAATTGAAAAATTCAACAACACTTACCGTTATCTTGATGATATTTTTTCGTTAAATAATCAAGAACTCTCTATATATACTGCAGAAATTTACCCACACCAACTTACATCAAATAAATCAAATATTAACAGCAATAAGTGTACTTTCCTAGATTTAGATATTTCAGTTTTACACCAGAAACTCTACCCAAAAATTTACGACGAAAGGGGGGATGATTTTTCTTTCCATATTGTTAATTTCCTTTTCTGGACGGTGATGTTCCTCTGGCACCATCTTACGGTGTTTATATATCCCAACTGGTTCGTCATGCCCATGTCTGTAGTGACGTTTTGGATTTCAATGAACGTAATCTATGTATTACTGGAAAGTTATTAAGTCAGGGATTTCGTTACCACAAATTACGTAAAACCTTTGCTACATTTTTCCATAGTTACAAAAATTTGGTTTGCAAGATTGGCTGTACCTGTAAAAAACTTATTTCGGACGGAATAGCACATTCTAAATTTCACGGGGAAGTTGTTTACCGAGACCGGGAATTTATATACGATTCGGGTAAACGTATCAATCCTTTGAATTAACTTTTTCTAAAAGGTTACCAATTCAACACTGTAATTATATCTTTGAATATTGTTTTTATTTGTATAAAAATTGATTTTGTTATCAGTAAATTAAAGTCATACTAAACAGTTTTATTATACACATATGTACGTTAACGGTACTAAAATCTGTCCATACCTTTATTTTGGCATTGCACAAGGTGGTGTTTTTCTCTGTCTGTTAACTTAGTGACGTCTTTTAACTAAATCCATTGGATGTTGTATGTGTACTGATTGATATTTTAGTCTTAGATACATGATTTCTTATCAGTTCTTATTGGCTTTGAACTAGCTGTCAGTAACTGCGAGTACTCGCAGTTCTGTTCTTAGTGTCCTTTTTTGTCGAGCCTGCGACTTCTGTCGCAGAAAGCTCGACATAGGAATAGTGATCCGGCCGCGGCGTTAACTAACTACTTAAAAACTTTATATTTTGAAAGGTGGAAGACCTGGATGCTTCAAACTTTGTATATAGATGCCTTATGTTATGAAGTTTACGTCTATTATATGTTCATTGTCCTTGACCTCATTTTCATGGTTCAGTGACTACTTGAAAAAGAAGTTAAGATTTTTTGTAATGTTAATTTTTTTCTTATTATGAGTAATAGGATTCCTATATTAAGTATATGCGTACCTTGCAAGTTCCTCTTGCCTGTCAGACAGTTTTCATCTGACCTCGACCTTATTGCATGGATCAGTGAACAAGGTTAAGTTTTCGTGGTTAAGTCAATATCTCAGATACTATAAGTAATAGGTCTACTATATTTGGTGTATGGAATGATTGTAAGGTGTACATGTCCAACTAGCAGGTGTCATCTGACCTTGACCTCATTTTCATGGTTCAGTGGTTAAAGTTAAGTTTTTTTTGTTTTTGGTCTTTTTTTCAAATACTATATGCAATAGGTCTATATTTGGTGTATGGAAATATTTTACGATGAAAAGTCTGGCAGGTTTTATGTGACCATGACTTCATTTTCACGGTTCATTGCTCAGTGTTAAGTTTTTATGTTTTGATCTGTTTTTCTCAAACTATAAGAAATAGGTCAACTATATTTGGTGTATAGAATGATTGTAAGGTGTATATATCTGTCTGACATGGTTCCTCTGACCTTGACCTCATTTTCATGGTTCATTGGTCAATGTTAAGTTTTCTTGGTTAAGTTTGTTTCTAAGAAACTATTGGCAAAAGGTCAACTATATTTAGTGTATGGAATGATTGCAAGGTATACATGTACGGTTTGGTTTATCTGACCTTGACTTCATTTTCTTGGATCGTATTAAGTTTATGTGATACTTGTAGTAAAGCTATATATTTAGGACTATCAACATAAACTCAATGGTAAGTAAAGCATGCAAGACATTTCAGCGTGTGCATTCTTGTATTGTTAGGGATGAGGGATGGATAAATACCCTGCCACGTCCGGTCTGTGTTTATGTTGGATGTTGTTCTCCTTTGTATCGGTCTGATGAGTTTTTTCAACTGATTTTTATAGTTTGTTTTCTTATGTTGTGCTGTTACACCTCTGTCCAAGGTTAGGGGGGGTTGAGCGCTCACAAACATGTTTGACCCCGCCACATACTGTATGTCTCTGTCCCAAGTCAGGAGCCTGTAGTTCAGTGGTTGTCGTTGGTTCATGTCTGTCATATTTGTTTTTCGTTCATTGTTTTGTTATAAATAAGGCTGTTAGTTCTCTCAATTCAATTGTTTCATATTTTTCACGTCGGGGCCTTTTATAGCCGACTATTTGGTATGGTCAGCATGTCAACATGTAGTTGTCAAAACGAATGTCAGCTGAAAAAGTGAAACTAGGGAAAGCAACAGCAGGCTGATTGATTTTGTTGAAAGATTAATCGCCAAAAGCATTCGTCTTATACCGGCTAGGAGTATATCATTTACATCTAATCTATATGTTTTTATCTATGAAATGAGACAAAACAGACGTGCAAAAATCGACTTTATACTGTTGAACGTGCTTACCTGTGTAGTTGTATTTTATGTTTACCTGTCAGTTTATATTTATAACTTTAACAGTGTCACATACCTATCGACAGTTTCCATATTAATGTCTATTGGTTAATTAGATGGCGTTTAGTCAGGAATACACACGAAATGTTCATAATTTATTGTTATTATGTCTGTTTGTTTTATTCACACATTATTGTCAATATAATGGAATTTTATGCGGCTGTCATACAAGTTAGAGGTATAGCTAGCTGTAAAACCAGGTTTAATCCACCATTTTCTACATAAGAAAATAGTTTGTACCAAGTCAGGAATATGACAGTTGTTTTCCATTCATTTGATGTGTTTGAGCTTTTGATTTTGACATTTTATAAGGGACTTTCTGATTTGAATTTTCCTTGGAGTTCGGTATTTTTGTTATTTTACTTTTTATATCGATTCAAGACATTGTGGTTGGCTTTCTATGGAATTTTTATAGTTTTGAATAACGTTTTTGTATACATTAAATCAAATTTGAGTGTTGGAATAAAATCAGTGTACATGCATTTTTCAGCTAATTCCATTTTAAGATATTTATCTACAAATATCTTCTTTTTGATGGAAAAGTTCAAAAAGTTATCTGGAACGAACGTTCCTGTCATATTCCGTAAAAACCTAATAGTCAAAAAGTAGTTTTCTCTACACCCGAAAGATACAGTTTTTCCCCAAAAAAGATCAAAGGATTTAGTGTTGAGTCACGATGCATCAACAAAATTACCTTGCAACTTTTCTTTAATAAAATACCTCAATTATTGTATTTTTGTAACCTTCATTTTATACATGTTGCATTATGTTCATTTCGGATTTGTCTTTTTTTTTACACGCAATCATGACTGTATTAAAATGCGATGTAGTTATTTTCGCACCATTCTTCAATCTAGTTATGGTAAAATGGTGTAAATGGGAAATCAGAATGAAATTTAGTTTAAATGGACGATGTTCGATTTAGAAGCAGCGTAAAGGTCGCTCCTATTAATTTCTAATCTTTTCAATCTTCATTTATTAGTGTTAAACTCGTGTTTGCGCTTTTTATTGCGATTAGTATATTATATCTATAATAAAACATCCATTTTTAATTTTAATTTCTGTATTTTATTAACATTTTCTATGTTTTCATACAGGGTGTGAATATCCATTCGGAATTATTGTATTCACCGGGTAATTTTTCATGGAAACCAGTGTTAAACGATTTGCTCTAAAAAGGTCAAGGTTTTATAGTATCTGACAAACATTGATTCAATTTAAAAGATTTTGAATTATGGTCTTTGTCATGTACACCTAATGGTTTATAAATCAAACCTTGATTATCCTCGTTATATATAAGAATGTATGAAATACATATTTATATAAGTCGATGTTTAAATTTAGAAAAAAAATAGAATAACAATTACAGTTATAAGTATACATCGAATGAGGCACACATACAAATTTGATGGAATTTTTCTTTGTGAGATCTTCCGAGATTTAAAAAAAAACTTGTTTCCCATTAATATTTTTCCCAAATCTCTTCTTCTTTGTGTTCTTTCTTTCATATTCGACAGCATTAGCTTGTCAATACTTTATTAAATATTCTTTATATATTAAAAAGGTTTCTGATAGATGACTTTCGTTTATATGGTATATATTCCAAGGTGAAATTACGCAGTATATGTCCCGCCTTTTCATGCATCCAACATGGGATATCTTGGCACATAATGTCTTCAATGATTAATGGATTCAATGTGAGTAGCAGTGTTATATGCAGTACTCGTACTTCTACTTCTATCCTGCATAAACATTTGACGATTAAATATCAGGAATACTAATGGGTTCATTATGCTGTTGACCGGAGCTAGCACGTGTAAAAAAACGTAGATATCGTTTGGTGGTATCACTTCAAATGCACTCAGTACTTGTGCCACATTAAGAGGAGTCCAACTAACGATGTACACTGAAATGAAATAGAAAACTAAAGCAAGTTTTTTCTTTATTTCGTCATAACAAATGCTTTTTATTGCCATCATTGTAGTAAAAAAAAACGAATAACCTGTATTGGTCAACTTAAAACTTTCATTCGAAAATGTCTTAACCATGTCGGGAATAAGACATTTTATTGCTACTTGTTCCGATGATGAATCATGGCATTTCATTTTCTACATGGTAACCTGTAAATATCCAATAAGCTTTGGACTTATATTTGTTATTCTCTGTTCTTCGATCAATTTATTCACTTTCAAATCGTGATTCGAAAACAAATATATTTTTCTGCTCGAACCTAAATCTTAAGTTTTTAAATTTCAGTAACTTGTAAATTGAGATTTATTTCTTTGAAAAATGCAAATATTGTCTTATTTATTGTCCTCTGCGTAACGCGTTGCGGGGGATATGGAAATACCGTGCGTCCGTGCGTCCGTGTGTCCGTCCGTCCGTCCGTCCGGTCTTGTTAGCGCTCTCAAAGGTACAATTCTTGCCAGATTTTTATAAACTTATACAATAGGTTAATATCAGCAATATCTCGGACAAGTTCAGTAATGGTGGCCGATCGACTTTTTTTAAAAGAGTTATGTCCCTTGGAAATATTAAATTTATGGAAAATGGCCTCGTTAGCGCTCTCACATGTACAATTCTGGCCAGATTTTTATAAAACTTATACTCTAGGTTAATATCAGCAATATCTCGGACAAGTTCTAAAATGGTGGCGGATCGACTATTTTTAAAAGAGTTATTCCCCTTATAGAAAATGGCCTCGTTAGCGCTACAAAAACAAGTGTTTTATTTAGTTATTGCCCTTGTACCTTGGATAGATAAAATATGTGCAACGCGGGGTATATTGGAACTCTGTTCTTTTGTTGCATTATAATTGATTTGTAGTAGGACACATTAACACTTACTGAACTTATAGAATTCGGTACGAAAATTGAAATGCATCGAATATAAAACCCAAATGAAGCAAACTATACGGACCAGAGTCTGTCATGCGTTTTGATTTGTTTATACATCAGTAGTTTTTCGATATCCAAATCTAAAATCGATTAAGAAGACAAATCAAGCTATTAAACAAAAACTGTACAAATCCCATGAACTCCAAATAGAACAAGATCGGCAGTGACAACAGGGTTAGCGTCTCTTGCAATGCATGATTAGAGATTAACATGTACTCTATCAAGTACTTTTTTCACAGATCATATTAAAAAACGGATATTCGCAGATTTAAAGCAGAAAGTGATATGGTTAGAAGAAAAAGAAAAACACTATCGATTTGAGTAAAACAACAAAAACATTAAAACTAAGATCCAGGGTAACTTAAAGGTGTACCGGAAGGGTACCTAGTAGTTGTTTTAACTGAAACATTCGCAATATGTGTTGTATAATTTGTAGCGATGAAAAGTTCGAGCTTTTTTGTTTAAACTTTGTCTTTTATGGCACTTGCAAGAAGTAGAATATTTATCTGTGTAAAGGGTGAAAGATCCTTTTTATTTAGAAAGTAATAAATAGAATACAGAATGGAAACAGGAATTGTTTCACAGAAACAACAACTTGATCAAAAAGTAAAAACAACCCAAAGGGCACCAATGGGTCCTCAACGCAGTAAGACAATCCCGCACACGGAGCCGGGCTTCAGCTGGTCCCTCAATAATAATGTCTACTAGTTCAGCGAAATGTACGCCACACCAAACTTCAAAATATACAAATTAATTAACCAAAACTAACAAACTAAAAAACACACAAGACAAACAAAGGCTTGAGGTTCCTGACTTGGGACAGGCACAAACATTTGGCGGGGTTAAACATGTTTTGTGAGATCTCAACCCTCCCTCTATACATATAGCCAATGTGAAAAAAACAAACACACAGCAATACGCACAATAAAACTCAGTTAAAAGAAGTCCGAGTCCAATGTTAGAATAGGTTACAGAAAAAACTAAGCAAAATGAGAATGATTAAGTATTTTTGAGAATTTCTCATGCAGATCACACTTCATTAAACCTTATTTAACGCAGTGTGATTTCGAACATATTTAAAAGAAAAATCACAAAAAAAAAAACAACTCCGAGGAAAATTCAAAACGGAAAGTCCCTAATCAATGGCAAAATCAAAAGCTCAAACACATCAAACGAATAGACAACAACTGTCATATTCCTGACTTCGTACAGGCATTTTCTTATGTAGAAAATGGTTAATTAAACCTGGTTTTATAGCTAGCTAAACCTCTCACTTGTATGACAGTCGCATAAAATTCCATTATATTGATAACGATGTGTGAACAAAACAGACATAATAATTAAAAATGTCAAATACAGTACATCGGTGTTTTATGAAATCATACAGTATTATGGTAAGTGTGATTTATAGACAATTTTATTTGTAATTATATACAATCGACTAAACATGTATATCTTAAAAATCAATTATTTGCAGTGGTTTAGAAAGTCACTTGTAAATTTCCATGTAGTGACTGATTTTATATCCTTTTAAAATGCTTTACTATTTCATTAAATGTTAGTTTTCTTCCAACAGTTCACTGGTTTCTTGATATTATTCGTTAAGACAGTATATCGCATTAGAAATTTAAGATGCAACAAACATATCTGTAATCTCTTACAATTTGGCTTTGATGTACATTTTAAACGTGCATGCTCTGTACAAACATATACTTTTCCTTTGAAACTCATTCACCACTTATTCGTGTATACATTAACATGTTTTTCTCAAAATGTTCACTTTGTTTTTTTCTACTTTAATAAGATTTTCCTATTTTGTTCGGAAACATTCTTGATTTGTTGAATACAATTCGGTGAAATGTAAAGTATAGGGTGAATTTTTTGTTGTCAAAATTCATAAATGGACAACACAACTAGTTATGTTTATTGATCCTTTTTAGATCAACCATTAGGACAGTTAACATGGTATATAAGTGGTAGTTAAGTCATAAAAACTCTCACAATTACAGATATATTTTCGGTGACAAATACAACCAAATTATTCTCTATTGTTTCCCATAATAATAATAATACATACCAATAACTACTACTAACAAAATTTTTATAGTTTTCTTCTTAGCATTTGTAATGACGGATGATGAACTAGATTCCATTTTCTTGAATTTTCCCATCAGAGTCGTTGACCCTTGAAAATGTTAAATGCATTTACAGTTGATCTCATTTTCATGTAAATGTGTATTTGAATATCGTGGTTAAGTATAAGTATGAACTGCTTTGCATGTAGATTGTAGCACACTGCGCTGATAACTAAGCACATATGTGATTGAAACCAAATAAATAGATTTATAAAAATAGTGGTGTTTAAACATAACTGAATCTACATAAGTAAAAATAGCTTGGTATATTCTAATGTTCTACGATAAGATATTGAAGATTAGCAGTTTGATCGGATTGAGACCAGAAGTTTGTTCAAGACTGGCTTAATCATACATATTATCAGGATAAGAAAAATGAAAAATTAGGTACAAACAGATTTCGGGATGAGCAAATCTTAACTTTTGCTGGTTGATAAAGTTCAAATAACAAACAAAGCGACCAGACCTACAACTAACTCTAAAACAAAATACATGCTAATCTGTCTGGTTTTTTTTTTCTATTGTCTATTTCACGGAGTAATGGTTTGTATAACCATCTTGATTGATTGATTGTTGGTTGCTTAATTTCCAGTGGCATATATTGCATGCATGTTCAGGACGAGTTTTTCATCTTGATATCCTATTTATATGGTATTATGTAAGTAAAATATTTAAACTATCTGAAAGTGTTTTATTGAATTCAATTCTTTATTTAGTCACTGCATTTGGTCATTGTCCAGATCATCTGTCTATTGTTCAATATATACTGTTTTATCCTGTATATTACCAAAAATGTATTGAAGTCTTTTTAAATTTTGAAAATATTAAGTTAACACATTTTTCATAGGGTAGGTCTCTAATGCTATAAATGTAGAAAACATGCTGGGATACCTGTCAATAAAATCAAAGGGGATAAGGAATAATTGCTGATTAAGTCATCAAACAGTGGGTAATAACGGTCAAATATTGGAGGCATAATGAACATTATGGACTGGAACTTGGTAAGTAATGAGGAAATTTGTTTCAATATGATTTGGAACTCAAAAAGAATAGAAATATTTGGTATATAAAATGTCGTTAAAACATGCTGTTGTATACTGATACGTCAGTGAAATGCTTCCTAGAACAAAGCAATACATTGCAGTTGGATGAAGTCGACAACATAAAACAGCACAATATAAACCTGACTGCTTTAAAATTCCTGTCATTATACAAAATGACTTTAATTCAAAATCATATGATACTTCAAATTTAAAAAAAAAACTGAATAAGTTTTATATCCTTGAATGGATTAGTTTTACTATAAAAACTCGTGTACGTGGACTTTCTTATAAAAGACAATCCGTTATCTTATCAGAAATGTATTGCTATTAAATCATTGTCTTTCCTTACTCTAATTAGCCGATCGATATTTTTTACCGTTTGCAGTGACCTTAACTATGAGACCTCTCGTTAGAACTTCGCCATCGCACAGCGCAAGTGCCTAATAAAAATGTGATGAAAGAATTTAAACAAACGTGCACTGGAAGGTAAATAGTAATAATTGGTTAATAAAGAACAAAGTCCGTGTTGGGCGCAACTTTTTGGAAGTTTTGGTCCTCGGTGCTCTTCAGTTTGTACTTGTTTTTGCTTTCAAACTTTTTTCATCTGAGCGTCACTGGTTGGTCTTGTGTGGACGAGACGCGCGTCTGGCGTATTGAATTTTAAGCCTAGTACCTTTTGTTAGCAATTATTCTTGTGTTTCTTTGTCCTATATGTTCTCCCATTTATTTGTATTGTGGTCCTGTCATGTGATGTTGTCGTTTTGGTGTTGTGTTTTACGTTGCCATAAAAGCGGGAGGTTTGGCATGCCACAAAACCAGGTTCAACCCACCATTTTTTTCTTAAAATGTCCTGTACCAAGTCAGGAAAATGGCCATTGTTATATTATAGTTAGTTTCTGTGTGTGTTACATTTTAATGTTGTGTTTTTGTTGTATCGTTGTTCTCCTCTTATGATGCGTTTCCCTCAGTTTTAGTTTGTAACCCGGATTTGTATTTATCTCTATCGATTTATGAGTTTTCGAACAGCGGTATACTACTGTTGCCTTTATTGAATACACAAAACAGTTAACAACTATTTTAGATAATTTTTATTCACAAATGGGAACTTATGGAAAGTAGAAAAAAATGTTAACATCGCGCTATTAATTCACTTATTTCTCACGTTTCTCTAAATTAGGCGTTGATTGTTTCTCCATATCACAATCCGTTAAACTTTTTCAACAAACTCGAAAGTTAATTAGCTTGCGATCAACAAGCACTGAATGAAATATTTTTTTGTCGATAATACATTATAAATTCGTTACAAATGCAAAATCGTGCATAGAGGACTTAGTTTAGTATAAATGCATGCTTTTAATTATCAATAATTTTCTGAACATTAAAATTACAAGAAACTCGTTTTGTATGACTTCAATTGTATGTACAAAACAAATCCATATTTTTTTTTCTTTGCAGATTTGCGTTATGTTTCTGTGCATTAACATATGAATAAGGAAACATTTATTTAAAAACTTTAAAATGTCGATTACATGTGATTAACAGCCTCTACCGTCTTCATTTATGAACCCTTTTCAAATACATTTTATATAGATAACTGATTGTTTGCAAAAATTGTATTGAAGGTTTTACTAGTTCAAAATAAGCCATTTTTATTTCAAGATCAGACTACTATGGCTGTTACGTCTATATAACTGATTCTATTTCTTATTTATTAAGATGCATGTGACATATTTGCGTACCCTTTGAGAATCTGACCTTCTGTGGTGCATTGAATCCCGCCTTTTCCCGCCTACAGATGATATATACGATCCATGTGTAACAGAATGATATAATAATGACAGGAATAACGACATTGATAAAAATTTCAGCAACAACAACTGCCTGCAAAATACATGTACAGTAATGTGAAAAAATAAGCAGAAATGTCAGAACTTGTTCTTATCCTAGAAAGCTGGTTTTACCCCAATTCCTTTTGTGCCTGTACCGAGTCAGACTATCTGAATCATATGTTGTTCGTTGTTTTTTGTCTTTAGAATAGAGAGTGAAATCGCGGTATGTGTCAAAGAGACAACAACCCTACCAAAGAGCAGAAAACAGCCCAAGCCTACCATAGGTCTCTAACACAGAGAGAAAATCCCGCACACGGTGGAGGGCTTCAGCTGGCCCCTTAACAAAAATATATACTAGTTCAGCGAAATGGACGCCACACTAAACTCCGAAACATACAAAATAATCAAAATTGGAAAAAAAAACTATAAGACTAGCAAAGGCAACAAGAGGTCTTGACTTGGGACATGAGGGTTTAAACATGTTTTGTGAGAACTCAACCCCTCCCCCCCTAATACCTCTAGCCAATTTTGGAATTAACAAATACACAACAACACGCACAGAAAACTCAGTCCAAGTCCGATGTTAGAATAGGTAACAGAAGAAACTAAGCAAAACGATTGCTTGTATATCTGTATTCAGAGGAGTGGGTATTAGTTTTTGTACGGAGCGTTGTACTGTGTGGTTTTTGTGTCGATTATTGTTATCTATTGTATGTATGATATAAATTTTAAATCGAAATGTATCGTTCAAATTAATCCAAGGTACGAAAAAGTTGCTACTGTACTAAGTGATTGGTGTCCAATGGTACTTGGTCTTCCTAATTGTGAAACTAGCCCTATGTTCATCAACGTCAAACAAATATGTTTTTGATTCACAGATGAGTCTTAAACAGCAAACAATTCTACAGTAAATGTTAATTGAGCCACTAAAAGTGATAACATTTTCCAATGAAATATATATTGTTATCATAGATGACATTATACCTGTATAATAATTTCTTGTGAAACATTTGACCAGATATTGTAAATATACCATCAATTATATTTTGTAAAATAACTTAGTGTGAGTAAATAAAGTTTCTGATAGGTGATGTATATACCAAGTGCACCATAAATAAACTATTATTACCATAAAAACTAGTAGCTTTTTTCAACTTATGAGTATTTTTCGCGTAAGATTTTTTTTAAAATTAATCTTGAAATAAAAAACATTCCGCATCTTCTTCTCGTGTGTTTGAAGTACAAAAAGGATTCTCTTTATTTCATACCTACCTGTACATTTTGGAAATTATGACCACATATATTTATTCCCTGAACCGTACATGAAAAAAACGCATGAGCAGCATACGGTATACCCATAATAATAGCGAGCAACCATGCACCGGATACAAGTCCATAACGATATTTCTTGCCTGTGGTTGAAGCGGATATTGGTCTTATTATTACAAATAATCTGTCGATCGTCAGGACAACAATTAGAAATGTAGATGCAAATATTGTTATGTTAGCACAAATCCCATAAAATATGAGACAGAAATATTTCTCCCAGCTATTTAGAAACCTTGAAAATATAGTGTCTGGTAAAACATACAGCACTCCTACTGATAAATCTGGAAATAAACACGAATAGGTTTAGAAGCCTAACAAATATGAAAACAGGTTTATGAATTATGCATATTAGTTTGAGAATTTTTTCCCGGGTAAAGCGAGACATAGAGTTCTTACGTTTCCTCGTCGGCGGCTTCAATATTCAGGTTCAGTCTGTGGTTAAAGTTTTTTAAATAGCAATTCCTTTGCAATACCTTTTTAAAACCTTCATTGAACTTAATTAAATTTGGATAGATGATTATTTATGACTAAACGACCATAACATGAGCAAAATTCTTAAAAAAAAGATTTTATTTTTTAGTTTTTCCGTAATTTCCTGATAATATACCTAGTTGTTTTGAAGTTAAAATTACATACAGTCTAAGGTTAAAGTTTTTTTTTCAGTGACTTTTCAAACATTCATGGGATTTTATGTTAATTGGACAGAAGCTTTTAATGAGAAAAAGATAAAAGTCCAGAGCAAAATAACGATTTTTTTTTTCATTTTTCCGTTCTTTACTCATAAAAGGACTTAGTTTTTTAAAGTTAGCATGTAGATACAGTATGGTGTTAAAACTTGTTAGACACCAATTACTTTGTCATACCTTCATTGAATCTTATGAAACTGTGGTAGAAACTTTTTCATGATTTCGAGATGATGTCTTCAGCATAATTTCAAAAATGTATATTTTTTTTATTTTCCAGTATTTTATTGATAGATAGGTTTGGTGGAAAAAGCTAATCTTCAAGATCAAGAAATTGCATCTGAAGAAAAAAGTTTGATTTTTTTAATCTGTATTTTACGGGAAAATGGACTTACTTTTTACAGTCAACATAACACTGAAAACAGCAAACACTTTTTAGAAATAATGTCTGAAGCAAAATTTCAAAAACTTTTTTTTTCATTTTCCGGTATTTTTTTGATAGATAGACTTAGTTGAATCTACAAGATCATGAAATAGCATCTGAAGAAAAAAAAGTTAAATTTTTTTTATCTATATTTTACTGATAAATGTGCATTTTTTTACAGTCAACATAATACTGAACACAGCAACAACAGGCGAAACACAGGGTTGGCCCCTTAACAATTTTGTTTAAACTAGATACCTTATGGCTGAATGTGACCAAATTTGGTTCCAATTGTCCCTGTAGTTTCAGAGCAGAATATTTTAAGTCAACGGACGATGACATCATGTCCGGACAAAAGGACGGTAGACAATGGATACTCAACGATCAAGAACGGAATACAGACGCCAAGTGATGAAAATAGCTCACACTTTAGGCTAAGTGAGCTATAAAATACGACAGATATCAGAGTATTCTCTCGGCTAGTATATATTTGTATGATTTTATGATTCGATAATAAAAAGAGATGTGAAAATGAAATTATACAACCCCAAATAGAATAGAGAACTTGTTCTGTAAGTCTTACTACTAAGTAAACTGAATAATTTAAATTTTTTTTATAAGAAGAAGCGGTGAGAGCTTATTTTCTTTAGACTTTATATATGCCGTTGATAAAATATTGATACATCGATACTGCTTTTTTTCTGAGTACTCATTAACTGGTCTTATAGTAATGTTTTTGTCCACAGCAGAAACAAGAAAGGGTTTCATTAAGTTTGCTTTCTTTCTAGCTTGATAATCAATTAGAGATTGGCGTTGACAATAAGACTGAGTTATATTCAGATTTCACAAAGTGTTAGTTTGAGACATCTATTACGAAAGAGCGGTAGTGACATTTTGTTGATAACATTTCTCTGTTTCAAATTATTATTTCTCACTTTCCACTTGACATTTTTGTACTGTTTCTGATTGTTATTTCTCACTTTCAAATTGACATATTTAACTTCCAGCTTGATATTTCGCGGGTCAAATTCATATTTGCAGTTCCATGTTCACAGTTCTCACAACCAGCTTGATATGTCTCAGTTCTAAAATGACATTTCTCAGTTCTAGGTTGATATTTCTCACTTCCAACGTAACGATTTCTTTCATTTCCAACTATCCAATTCAGAAATGAAAAATTGGAACTGACACATGTCAAGTTGGAATCTATAAACGCCATGGATGAAGTAAAAAATGTCAACTTTGAAGGGAGAACTTTTAGCAACAGAATATTACTTCCGTTCTCCCGCAATATCCTGCTCACTGTAGAATGTGTATTTAATGGTGACTTACACCATGCACGCGTATTTATTCTTTCATTATTTTGTGATTTTGGTTTGTTGAAGTCGTTTCATCATTGTTGAACTCGTATAATGCTCTTAGTTATGATTTCACTATAGCATCAAATCACATTGTATAAAATGTACATAGAAACCATTTTTCATTTTTATAATTATATGTTTTTAAGTAAAAATATGCAATTGTGTGCTATAACTCCCCAATTCAAAGTTGACCGTAGACATCTAGTATTCTATGTGCACTCTTTTAAATTTGACTTTCTAAATTTAAAGTCTTTGAGTGTTCCGAATAAAAAGATTAGTCGAAAACACGAGTAATGCACAGGAAAATCATAGTATTTGTTTGTCAAAGATCATGTTAGAAAAATACCAAAACCTTTACCAGCGATTGCTAAATGTTGAACAAAGAAGGCCATTCTGCTCGGTTTCTTTCGTCTGGCTAGCAACAGTATAAGAAGTGTGTTAAGTATGATTATTCCTACTGCCTGTGTGAGAGCAATCCATTTGATCATACCTCCAAATGGCTGAAATATAGATAGATATGAAGTCATCACTTACAATGCTTTCCAAATTTGACTAAAACGACCTACTATATAATGAGTTTGTCATATCTTAATGAGACAAACTTGATTTATTGGGTTTAAGATCATGAATTTTTCCAGCATTGATTTTTTTTTTTTTTTTTTTTTTACATATTTTGATATCTTGTTTGAGAGAAGAGGGTCAGCAAGGGGTAATTATTCTTTCGTTTTGTTTAGTATAGAAGATTTTCCCTCTTATATATGATAAGCGCCATTTATTCCAACTTAAATTATGCTTATACCGAAATGTTAACCTTACGAAATCAGCTGTGACTTTCTTATTCTTTGAATATGAAATTAATAGGAATTATACACTATGGAACACCAGGATGATCTGTATTATAATCGTAGTTACTCACCTCTTCTTTAATTGGTCCTAAATCGCGACACTGAGTAGCATTTTTATTATTGCCAGTAAGATTTGTTGCCATGATATTTCAATATCTACAAATAAAAAAAAATAATATAATACATATATATATATTGTCCTGGAATGTGAATGTTAAAGTCGTACGAAACGGGTTTCGTGTAATTATTATATTAAAGAAATTATTGAACTAATGCGTACATATCTACTATACTAAGTCATCTATGCACACACTTTGTACATTAATTTCGAATCTATAACAGCGCGATAGATAATATTTCATTTAGTGAATGTTGACCGCAAGTTAATTAACTTTCGAGTTTAGCGGATTATGACATTGATAGACAATCAACCCAGAATAGTAGTGCACGTTAAAAAATGAGTGAATTGAAAGATCGATGTAAAGTTTTATTTCTTAATATTTCCCTGCCTTCCTTATTTGTTAATTAAACGTTTCCATAACAGTTGTTCAATGATTTCGTGAATTTGATTTGTTCTTTCAGTATTAATTACTACTTCCAATGCACGTTTGTTCATATTCTTTCGTCATGGTTTTTCCCTTGTACTTGCGCTGCACGGTGGCCAAAGTTCTAACGAGAGGTCTCGTAGTTAAGGTCACTGCATACGGAAAAATATCGGCGAATTCGAGGGAAGACAATAATTCACTAGCAGTATATTTCTGAAGATTTTGATAAAGATAAAGGATTTTTTTTACTAGAAAGTCCACGTACACTGGTTTTACGCTAAAACTTAGGCATTTAAGTATTTAAATCATATTCAGCTTTTTTTTTAATTTGAAGTATTATATGACTTTAAAAGCTATTTAAAAAAATAATAATAAAATAGATGTGGTACGAACGTCAATACGACAGGTATCCATATAGAACGGTGGAATCAACATCTACGTGTAGGGCCATCAATAATTAACAAGACCTTTAAGTAAAAGTCTAAGTGTAAGCTGTAAAAAGGCTCTAAAGGAAAATCAATGGAAGTTTTAACTCATTTTTAAAAAGCAAAAGTGAAACAAGCCAAAAAGGATAAGACCTAATTTAAGACACTTAAACAAAATGTAAAACTATTTTGCAAGCAGCAACCTTCGACAACCATTGAACTGGAAGGGGTTTAAGGTTTAACACGTTTAAAGAGGATGTAACCAAAACTCTGACCATTTCCACCTCACCAGTGACAATGGTGAAACAGAACAACACATAAACGAACTAAAAATCCTTGAAATGCTTAACTCAAAGAAACACATAGCCAGTTTTTTATTTGGATTTACCAGTTTAGATCTCCGGTAATTTATTGTTGTTTCTTTTTTTAATGTATTCATTCAACGTAAATATGGTCTGTTCATGGCTATGTTTTAACGTAACATATTTATATAAAAGAGTTTGTATGGTAACGATTATATTTGATATGCAAGCTTTTTAAATTTCTTTTTTTAATGACAAAATTGCTTAGTCAAAATATTGAAATCGGATCAACATTTGAATTAAAACGTATTGGAAGAAGAAAAGTCAAGATCCATTGACATTTTCAATATAAACATCAACAATCTATAGTGTTTCAATTCAAACGGGTTTTTTTACCAAAAAAAAGTCCGTTTTTTCAATTTGGGTTAATTCGGTGGGCGGGTTGGCGACTCCAGCTGTTTCCGATCAATTTTTTGAGAACCGTTTAATCAATTCTCCAAGTTTAATATGTATCAAGTTTAATATTGAGGTGTAATACCACCATTGATTTTCCCCTATTAGTCTTTGTTTAATTTGCACATTTCAAAAAATTGTGCAGAATTTATCTTTGTTTCAAAATACTTGGTATGAGTAAAGTTTTATCCTGTCCAGTACTATAGAAAAAATTTCACAAAACATTTCATTGCATATAAGAAAATAACCATCACTTGTAGTTAACCAATCAAATTTTTCACTTTTATTAACCTGTGTACAAGCTTTAGTAACCATGTAACCTCAAGTTTCCAAAATATTCTATAGAAACCCCAAATAAAAAAATAATGGTGCTTTTAAATACCCAAGATATATGTTTATGACCCAGAAATGTTTTACTGCAATGAAATGTAGGATTAATTACCTACAACTGTTAAATTCAAGGGAATATTTTTTTTCGACCTATTTTCGTATGCAACCGTATGTGACGTACTATGCTTTGGTGGTATTACACCTAAAGAAGATTTTTTTGTTGAATAAACCGAATGTGACTTTTTTCCCTTTGTAATACTGGTTATTTCAAGCATTCCTGTCAAGTTTTGTCATAATAAGTTCAATAGTTTGAGAAAAATCTAGTATAATGTAAGATGACATCTACAGTGATTCGAGCAAAATTTCTTCGAAAGATCAAAACCATGGCGCATCATGATAGAATATAGTGTGGACCAATAAATGACCAAATATTTATCTCATCTGCCTACAAACAGTTAAATATGATACAAACGATGACTTTAGGATGATAAATACCACTAATGGACCTCTTTGTCTTCCTTATAAGGTCTGTTTTGGTCCATTTATTCCTCTCATTTCCTCAAAATTTCAACTTTTTAGGCCGATAAATAAAAATTTTGGGGTAGCTTTCACTCATTTACGATAGAAATGTTATAATAAATGAGTAATTGAAGTATTCAAGCTGAATGAACCATCAATATAAAAGTTTACAGTCTCCAAGGAGGTTTCAATAAGTCCTTACGTAAAAATTAAATTTACGCCGCGTTCCAGAGAGGGACATAAAAAGCTTCTCTTCCAGTGAATAATTTGTTGTTACTGCTTTAAAAATAATTTAATTTACTTATAACTATATATTTATTAAAGTATTTCTTAGGAAAAATTTTCTATTATAGCAGAATATAAGAAATAAGGAGAAAAAGTCCCCAAAACACTAAGTATGGCTTGTTCTGTCAACTAATATTCATGGTAGAGTCCTATTTCAAGGAAATTTTCTCATAAAATGTGTTTTGGAGACTCAATCCACTCAGAATATTTCATTTTTTGTAATATTTCACTTAAATAGCAAGAAATTTTAACACATGAGAGTACTCACAAGGTCAAAGGTGCATGTACAGCTTCCCATATTAGGTGTAATACCACCATTGATTTTCCCCTATTATTCCTTGTTAAATTTGCACTTTTCAAAAAATTGTGCAGAATTTATCTTTGTTTTAAATAAAGAAATACTTGGTATGAGTTAAGTTTGATCCTGTCCAGTACTATAGAAAAAATTTTACATAACATTTCCTTGCATATAAGAAAATAACCATCACTGGAAGATAACCAATCAAATTTTCCCCTTTTATTAACCTGTGTATAAGCTTTAGTAACCATGTAACCTCAAGTTTCCAAAATATTCTAAAGTAACCCCAAATACAAAAATAATGGTGCTTTTAAATACCCAAGATATATGTTTATGACCCAGAAATGTTTACTGCAATGAAATGTAGGATTAATTACCTACAACTGTCAAATTCAAGGGAACATTTTTTTCTACCTATTTTCGTATGCAACCGGATGTGACGTACTATGATTTGGTGGTATTACACCTTCAAGATTTTTTTCCTTTTACCGTGCAGGTGTCATAGTCTGGAGTTGATTGGCAAATGGTAATTAAGTCACCCGAAATAAGTTTGGAGACTTGTTGGGTTTGCTCAGTTCTTCTTCTTCTTCTTCTTCTTCTTCTTCTTATTATTATTATTATCATTATATCTCTTCCTCTTCCTCTTCCACTTCCACTTCCACAACTTTTTCGGATTTGAACTTGCCCGCACCCGTTCTCATAAACAGCTAGTCAGATTAACAATATGTTAGACTACCATGTTTCTTGGTGCAATCAGGGTTTTGTTTGTACACTGGGGTTTTTAAATGGGTACGTTGAGGGGCAATATGTTAGACAAATATGTCTTTTTGGTGCAATCAGGGTTTTCTTTGTGCACTGGGGTTTAAAAGGGGTACTTTGAGGGGCAAAAAGAGAAGGGAGGAGTTTACTATATAACCCTATGTGATCTTTATTTTTTTAAATTTTCAAATGATTACAACTTGAGAACGGTTAGTGGTAGACACATGGGGTCTTCAGTAATGACCATGTGAAGATATTGCCTACTTAAAGGCTAAAAGGTCAATGGTCAATTATGACTTTGACGTTTGACCTTGAACATTTTTTTTTCAATTTATACAAAACAAAATTGGAAAATCTTTATAATTGAAAATGATCTCCATAATAAAACAAATTGAATAGAATACAAAGTTAGTCCCAAAGGGTCAATCCCCTTTTGTCATTTGAGAATGCTCTCATATTTTGTAAATGGTCAAGAACCCCACCCCTAAATTATATATGTTCCTGTTTGTTATGTCAAAATGATTTGAATGATATTAAGTCCCCAGGGGTCATCCCTACCCCCCCCCCCCCCCCCCCCCTGCAATTTGGATATGTTCATATATCTAGTAAGAGGTTGAGATCCCTACCCATAAATCATATATATTCTGGTTTGTCACGCGAACATGATAAAAATAAAGGTTAGTTCCAAAGGGTCATCCCCACCCCTATCATTTGAATATGTTCAAATATCTTGTAAGTGATTGGAATTCATACCCCTAAACCATATTTTTTCTGGTGTGACATAGAAAGATACATTAAACGAAACATAGAAGAAGTCCCCAGGGGTCATACCCACCCTTTGTCATCTGATAATATTCTTAAATCATGTAAATGGTTAAGATTCCAAACCCTTCACCAAACAATTTCTGCAAGATGAATTGAATGAATAAAAACGAGGGGTTTATACTTATGGGTACTTTGTTTGGGAGACTTCGTTAATGAATCCTGTTAAAATCATTTATTGTTTTTGTTGGTATTTTGCGCCTGAATCTTCCTTTTCAGATATCCATATGTTGTTTTGACGATTTTCACTTATTTCGTTTAGGAGTTATGGGTATTCATTGCTTATCAGTGAAAATAATAAATGTAAGAAAACACGATTTGCTGTCATTTGGACAGCCTTTTGTTTACAGTTAACTCAAATCGTATAAGTATAGCATTACATTTATGAGATACTTTGATTGAGGTTGGGTTTTTTTTG